AGGGGGCGAGCCCGTCGCGCCGCGCCCGGCCAGGTTTGGGCGCCCGCGCCCCGCGAGGTCGGCGGCGGAGAGGCGGCGCGGGCCCCGCCGCGCGAGGCGGCCGCCAATTGCGTCCTGGCGCCCCGGCCCCCAGTGTGCGAGGGCTCAAATCCGACGGGGGTGCCCTGCGCAACACGCGGCTATTTCGGGTGATGGTCTCGCGGGGCTGACGCGCGGCGGATAGGTGCGATGCGTGGGTGATTTCTCCGCCAGCGGCGTCAGCGCGGCGTCGGCGGTGTCCGAGAAGATCAGGCGCGCGCCATGGACTCCTGTGGCGCGCTTCCGGAGCTCGCCCTGCGGGCGCGCCTGCGGGGCAGTGCGTGGCTGAGTAAAGATTGAATTGCTGGCGTTTTCAGAGCGTTGCCGCTGGCTCGCTGGCCCGCGCGGCGATCGGGGGTCGGCGGGTCGCATGCGCGCGACTCGACAGGGAGAGCGACCTGCGCCTCGCGGCAGCCGTTTCCGCTGATGCGAGCGCGGGCGGGCGCGTGCCACAGCTGCTGCGATGCCCGTTCGGGGCGGTCAGCTCCGTGAGAGTGGGGGCGCTTCGGGGCGGCGACCCAGGGCGGGGCGTTCGCGGCGCGGCTGCCCGCGCGCCTGCCAGCGCGATCGGCCAGCGGATGCCGGCAATGTTATTCCTCGCGTTGACGGGGCGGTGCGTAGACGAATTGTTTTTTGTGCCGACGCTGGCGACGAGATCGCCGGCCCGCGCTGGTCCGGGGCAGAGGGGGCCACTGTTCTGACGCGCGCGCTGATTGGAGACTTGCTCCGGTGGCAGCTCGACGAGGCCAAGCGCATCTCGGCGGCTGCCGCCGCGCCCGTTCTCGGGGCCGCGGTGGCCGCGCAGCGCGGGGAAGAGCGCCCCGAGACGCCGGTGGGGGCACTCCGGCGCGCGACGCGCGGCGGCGGGGCTCGCCCGTTTCGGCGCGCAGGAGCCATCGCTGGTCGCGTCGATTACGGAAGAGCGAAGGGTAAAGTGGATGAGCGAAATCATGGGCGCGCCGCGCCCTCCATGGTCTCCAAGCTGGCGGGGGAGCTGAGCCGGGGGGCAGCGCGGTCTTCGGCCGAGGATGTCGATGCCGCGTCGCGCCTCTTTACCGGCATGCGCGCCAGGGGAGCTGGCGCTTGGGTGCGCGAGCGAGGGCGGCGCTCCAACGGGGGGCGCGCTGCCTGCAGGGCGCGCTGAGGAAGGTTATTTCGTTGGGGCTGGCCGCGCCCCGGCCGCGAATCATTCCATGCTCCGATGCCGCGGGGCGCGGCAGGCGCGCGCGCGCGCTCGCGCGCGGGGCGAGCGAGCGAACGCTCGCACGCGCCGCGGGCTGGCCCGGGCGGCCGACGCGCCGAATAGGCATAATTTCGCGGTGGCCGATATTTCGAGGGATCTGCGCAGCTGGGTAAAACCCAGGCGCGCGCAGGCATGGCGTTCGATGCGTGCGCTCTTAAGGTTGCTCGTCGAATGCGCGGCGCGCGCGGGTGGCCGCGTGGGAGCTAGTTGCTGCGGTCTGCGCGCTGCGATATGCGTTCCAGCAGTGGCCGGGGGCGGAGTTCCTGCTGTTTGTGGATCGATTCGAAGGCGCGTCAGTCCGTTCGAGCGTCGACGCGCGCCGGGGCAGGGCGCCCGGGGGCCGGCGCGGCCCAGGTGCCCCTTGGAGCGTTGCGAAAGGGGTACCCAAGACAAGAGGATTACAACGCTCTCGTAACCGAGTTATGGCTGATGGCGGCCCAGGAGGCATATGTTTTCACCTGCTGGCGGGCGCCGTCGGCGCAAAACGTCGCCGATGCGCCGGCGAGGCTGGGGGGCAGAAGGCCGCGCAGCTAGCGGCAACGCGCGCGGTGGGTTTCCGCGGGGCGCCCTTGGGGCGGCCTGGGGGCGCCCCCTGGAGTTGCCCAGCGCGGAGACCAACCAGCCATGGATGGGGGGCGGCCGCGGCGTGGGCCCTCGCGGCTGGTCGATCGGTCGTCGCGCTGCCGCGCTTGCTTAGGCGCCCTTTGTGCCGTCGCTGCGCGCGCGCGTCAGGGGCGCAAGATGCCGCGCGTGCCTGGCCGGTCTCGGACGCATGCGCGAGCGACCTTGAGCGTCTTCTTGTTCAAGGGGGCGCCGTCGGGCCGGTGGACTTCACTGTTTTGGCGGTGGCCGATGCAAAAGCGATTTGGCCACCGTTGGCGCGGTAGTCTGATGATTTCGTCAGGAAATTCCCTTCCGCGGCGCTGTCTGCAATTCGCGGGGGGGGCGCCTCTTTCCTTGCGCGCCCATAGCAGGGGGGGCCGTTCTCCCGACCCCTGGTGGCGGTCACCCACCGACGTGCCACGATCGCCATCATCGTCGTCGCCATCAAAACTCTATAAATAATCGTCGCCCCGAGATCATCATTCGTGATCGTCACCATTACTCGTCAGCACTGTCACCACGGTTGAGATTGAACCCCAAGGTCACGCCCATTGTACACGTGCGAGCATATACAAACAAGACGACCAATCACACAACGAGCAAGGCACCCATCATAATATAGAACATATGGCAAATATCAACATAGACAATGCCGAGACACAGTATTCAACATAAGCAGCGTTGGCGTGCAAGTGCGGTGCAAGTGCTGCTGGAGCGCATGCCTGAACAGTGTCAGAGTGCAGTCAGTCACTTCTGCTAGTGCAACTCCTAAATGCGGTGGTTCAAAAGCTAGTGCCGAAAAATAAACGCCCCATCAAGTGCAAGTTCTGTCTGGGCAGCCGTAGTATGCCTTTGTGGCCGGGGGCAGTTCGACGCAGGATTGAGACTCTCTCTCTCTCTCTCTCTCTCTCTCTCTTTCTCTCTCTCTCTCTCTCTCTCTCTCTCTCTTTCTTTTTTATTTCTTTTTTCTTTCCTTTCGCCGCCGTGATGGCGCCGCTTGCCATGCCGCCCAAGGGGGCCAGGAAGGCCGCGAAGCCTGCTGGCGGCCGCGGCCGCGGCCGGGGTCGCGAGCCCCCCGCCGCTGTGCCCGAGACTTTGGAGCGGGGCGCCGACGCGCAGATTGGGCGCGCTGCCGACGACGACGAGAAAGGGCCTCCAGGGACAGAGGCGATGGAGGAGAGGCCGCGCGAGCGCGGCGCCAGGATCGGCACGCCTTTCCAGTCAGCTCACAGTGTCTCAGCGATGATGGGCGGGGGCCTTGCCGTCGACGACTCGGGGCCCGCTGGCGATGAGGGCAACGCCTGGGCGAGATCGCTGCAGTCCACGCGCGAAGCCAAGCAGATCCCACATGCGATGTTCATCAGCTCCATCGGAGTCACGCAGGACATGAACAACGCCTTGATGAGTCGCGTCGCGACAGCCGAGCAGAAGATCGTGAACCACCCAGATTTGGGGAACGTCGGCGCTGCCAGTCCGCTACCGCTGCCTTCGCGCGTGCGGATGGATCCTGCGATGGCGTCTGCGATTGCGCTGTTCGATGCTGACGTGTGCAACGCATGCCTGACCACTTCTAGCTCCTACGGCCCAGTTGGCTTTAATTTCTTCCAGCTGGACTTGCGCGCCAGCCCGACGAAACGAGCCCTCTCGAACATCAGCAAGCTGATCGCCTTGATCGGCGTAGTCTGTCAGAACGTTTTGACAGAACGTTTTGAACGGCAGTTTTCCGCAGACGTTCTCGCCGTCGCGGTCCCGTCCCGGAGTGTTCGGAGATGCTCGGCAGTTTGGTCATTGCTTCTCCCCCTGGGGTGATCTGGGCTGTCGCCCTCGGCGCGGCCGAGCTGCTCGAGGCTAGCCCCTCGCCGGACCAGCTGGCCATGCTGGGGCGCGCGCTGATCGCCTTCCCAGTCGCCTTCGAGGCTGTCGCTCCAGGACCTACTACTATCATTGCTACTGCTTCTACTCTTACTACCACTACTACCACTACCACTACTACTACTACTACTACTACTACTACTCTTACTCCTGCTCCTGCTCCTATTGTTACTACTAGCACTCGTATAATTATTATTAGTAGTAGTAGTCGTCGTCAGCGTAGTAGTAGTAGTCGTAGTAGTAAGTAGTAGTAGTAGTAGTAGTAGTAGTAGTAGTAGTAGTAGTAGTCGTAGTCGTAGTCGTAGTAGTGTTAGTAGTAGTAGTAGTACTACTACTACTACGACCACCCGCCCACTACCACTACTCTTACTACTCTTACTACTCTTACTACTCTTACTACTCTTACTACTCTTACTCTTACTCTTACCCTTACTACTACTACTACTACTATTACTACTACTTATTGCGACTACTACTACTACTACGACTACTACTATTACTACTACTACTACTATTACTACTACTATTATTACTAGTACTAGTACTTCTACTTCTGCTACTATTACTACTACTACTACTACTACTACTACTACTACTACTACTACTACTACTACTACTACTACTACTACTACTAACTACTACTACTACTACTACTACTACTACTGCTACTACTACTACTACTACTACTACTACTATTACTACTATCACCACTTCGACTTCCTTCTACGTATTTCCCACTTCACAGTGCCTACTACCTACTACCAACTGCATACTACTACTGTCTCCCTCAGGAGATGCCTCGTGCTGGGAGGCTCTTGGGTTTCGCGAGAACATCGCAGGCGAGGCCGTGACATGCACGGCCGCTCAGGGGTTCTTCGACATCATGGAGAGCAAGGGAGCGGTTGAAACCGACCAGGGGCGCGCGTTGGGCGCTTGGAAAGTGGCTAAGATGTGGGCCGAGAAGGTCGCTCTCGCACCAAATTCAGAGAAGATTTCGGAGGCGTGCTCCGACGCCTTCTTCGCCTCCGCGGGGGCCAGGATCATGAACAAAAGCGAGACTCAGACGATCAGGGTGGAGGCCGATTAGAATGGATTCGCGCCGTTCGACAGCATCTGCAGGTACGAGGTGGTGGTGGGGAGGGGTCAAATCGCCGAACCTGTTCACTGGTGCGCGGCTTGTTTGCTGGACCTGGTGGCCTTTAAGATGGCCGCGATCGGCGAGGTCAGCCTGCGCCAGCTGACGGGCCGCGAACTCCTGGGAGGGGGGGGGTGGCTGGACCTGCTGATTGGCAAGAACGGGCTCGGGCACGCGATCATCAGGAAGCTGCGTGACATAGGCCCCGATCCATCGACGATCAACGAGATGGAGACGTGGATCGGCGGTCGCGACGCCTGCCGTGACGTGGTCGGACACAATGCTGGCGAGAAGAGCGCGTCCTGGCGCGCTGCGCTGAGGCGGCCCTCCAAGTTGGCCGTCGCTCTGTTCGAGGATTCTGTTTCAAGGTTGACTTCGACTTGCAGATCGAACGGCAGAATGCCCAGGGCTCGCCGACAGGGGAAATTTTCGACAGGTCCCCAATGAAGGAGAATGTCGACGCCACCTGCGCGGCCTTGGTAACGGGGGGCGACGCGAAGCAATGCAGGCCCTCCTCGAGTCTCCCCGTTGCTCATTTCAGGGGTGCTCGCTGCGACCGCGCGGTCCAAGGGGCGCTGGCTGGCCTGGGGGCGAAGGATCAGCCGGGGGGTGAGATGCCGTCGAACGTAATCTTTTCCATTTTCGACGTCGGCGTCCGTCGTGGCGGGCGCAAGTTAGGCCAGCCCTTCCAGAGCGAGGATGAGGAGGCGCCCAAGAAGGATGGGCGCGCCCTGCTCCTGCAGACCACCGAGGAGCCCGTGAGGGATCATAGGGGCAATTACTCAGGCGTCTACGGGCTCCCCGCGGCGGAATTCTCAGGTTGCGGCTGTAGCTGAGGTTGTTTGAACCTCGCGTGCCGGATCGGCGGATTGGTCAGGTTGGGCCTGGACAGTCGAGGCGCCGCGGGGAAGCAATCGTGCGGTGGAGAAATAAAACGTGGGGCCGTTTTCGAGCCGCGAAGCTAGGATGTGCCAAGCTTTGGTGGCTCGATAACTACCTTGCACGTGGCCGTTCAGACGGGCAGTTTTCATTCGAGGTGTTTGCGCGCTTCATGTCAGCTTAGGCCCGAGGGGCGTGGAACAGCCTCGTGAAGCTGGGCAAGTATTTCAAGAACCACGACAGGTGTGGGGCCCAGCATGTGCGCCAGGAGTGGCCTCGGGAGTTCGCAGCGTGGACCAATACTGACTATGCTGGATGCAAGAGGACGCGCAAATCAACGTGACGGGGGCGCAGGTACGTGGGGATCGCATGTGATAGAGTCGTGGAGTTCTGCCAGGAATGTAGTGGCATTGCCATATGGAGAAGCAAGGTACCGCGGAATGGTGAGGGGTGGACCAGTAGCGCTTGGATTGCGAGCAGTTCTCAAAGACTTCGATGTTGATTCCAGTATCGTGTTACTGGGCGGTGCTAGTGCGGCCATTGCTATTGCGAGCGGGCGAGGACCAGGATGAGTCAGGCGCATCGAGGTTTGTCAGTTCTGGTGATGAGAGAAACTGCGAAGGGGGGAATATGACCCCATGTTAGCAGGGACGAGATGTCCATGCGCGTGCGAGGTACCAAGATACCAATTATCACGCTGTCTGTTGGATGCGCGAGCTGGCGCCTGTTACGGAGTGTTCGCTTACTCGATTTCTGGCTATCATCGCGTACCGTTTTGGCGCGGATATTTGAGCTCAGGATCGTTTGAGATCCAGGTGCTCGTCTACACGCACTGCCGAACATGTTAACAGTTATGGGTGATTCGACATTTTGCGACACCTAAAGATAGTGTATGGCGTGTTCGACGACCCCTGTGCATTTCTGCCGAAGTATTTCATAATTTTTGTTTTTGCCAGTTGCGCGTGTTTGCTCATTTCGTCTCTAACTCGACTTGCTGAGCTGTTGTTCTGGCTTAGTTGCGCTGCTGCCCACTTGATTCTTCTTTTTCCCCCCATACCCAGTAACATGTGTTGATCCTCGCATTCAAAGTGAGTTTCTTTTGTTTGTGGACACCCCGCGCAGGAGCACAAACACCCCTTCTCTTTTCACACACACACATGCACTCACGCACTCACATTAGCATCATAATTTTCAACATCATCATCATTTACATACTCGCATCCCCTCGAACACATTTATTCACTGCTGCCTCGTCAATGAGTGACTTGCGAGGAAATCTCAGGCGGGACCCCTCTCCCTATGGGGCCCGCAGCTCATGTTATTAATCCGAGCGGGTCATCGGAATCCTGTAGCCGTCGTGACTTTTGGGCCGTTGAGGCCTGAATATGGGGAAGTATCTGGCGGGAGCCTTGTGTGTGACTGCTGAGGACGTCTCAGGCGGGAACACCCTCACTATGGGGCCCGCGACTCATGTTATGAATCCGAGCAGGTCGTCGGAATTGTCGTCATTTTTTTCAAGCTTGAGTATGGAGCAAGTCTCAGGCAGGAACCTCGTCTGTGAGTGACTTGCGGGGAAGTCTCAGGCGGGACCCCCCCTCCGTATGGGGTCCGCAGCTCATGTTACTAATCCGAGCGGGTCATCGTAACTGTCGTCACTTTCAGCGTTACCGAGCTTGAGTATGGCGGACAATCCAGGCTGGAACCTCTTTGGGCCTCTTCCTGTTTGGGTCCAGGAAGTCTCAGGCGGGAACTTCGTTTGTGAGTGTATTGCCGGGAAATCTCAGGCAGGACCCACGTCCCTATGGGGCCCGCAACCAGTGAACCACAGAACCGAACCACGAACCACAGAACGAACCGTTGGAGAACCGACGGAACCGGAACCCGTCAGAAACCCGACGTGAACCGAAACCAAACCGAACCGGAGTCGGTGGAACCGAACCGGGCCAGAACCGGGAACCGAACCGGGAACCTGTCGTGGAGGTGGACCCTTGGGAACTGCCCGATGCGAGCGCCCACCCTTACGCTAGGTCCATCCCACCCGCTCCCAGCTCCTCCCCTGCGCCCCCTTGTTTCCTCGTCCTGTTTGCTGCTTGTCCAGGACCGAACTGGGGACGGAAGGGCGGCGGAATAGCTCAAATCACATGTTTGGACGGCTCGAAAATGCGTTTTGGGCTTCCAGGTGGTTTTCGGAGCTTCCAAGGCTGCTCTGGGGATGGCAGGGCGGCGAAAAAACGCTCAAATTGTATTTTTGGACGGTTCGAAAATGCGTTTTGGGCCTCCAGGTGGTTTTCGGAGCCTCCAGGGCTGCACTGGTGACGGAAGGGCGGCAGAAAAGCTCAAGTCGCATTTTTGGTTCCGGTTCTGTCGGTTCTCCCTCGGTCGGTTCGGTTCTGTGGTTCGTGGTTCGGTTCTGTGTTTCACTGGAGGAAGTCTCAGGCGGCCTGGCCCGCTGGGTTGCCCCCGACGGCTTCGCGATGTCGCTGTCGGAGCACGCGTTTTGGGGCATATTGGGACCCTCTTGGGGCTCTCCTGGGGTCAGCTTGGGGTCATCTTGGGGTCCTCTTGGGGTCCTCTTGGGGCCTTCTTGGGGCCCTGTTGGGATTCTCTTGGGGGGTCCTGGGAGGCCTCTTGGGGCCGTCTTTGGCCGCATTGATCAAAAAGATGGGTGATCTTAATTCCCATCGCCCCCTCGGAGGCTCAAACATGCCGTCTTGGGGCCCTCTTGGGCCGGTCTTGGAGCGCTCTTGGGCTCTCTTGGGGCCGTCTTGGGGCCCTCTTGGACCCCTCTTGGGGCTATCTTGGGCCGTCTTGGGACCATCTTGAGGCCTCAAGAGCCCATCGGAGGCGAAAAAGCGAGAAGGCAAACAACATTGATTTTCCTGAGGTTTTTGAAGGATTTTGGCCTCTTCGGGGGGTCCTTGGAGGCCTCGGAGGGCACTTGAAACCGTCTTGGGGCCGTCTTGAGGCCTCTTGGACGTGCGTCGGAGGCTATCTTGACCCATCTACCGCTATCTTCGGCGAGGGCGCCGAGGACAATCTACACGCGCGCCCCTGCCAGGAGCAAGGAGGGGTGCACGAGGAGAACAGGCGGGGTGGATGTGAGGATGGGGAGGAGGGGGAGGTGGAAGAAGAGAGGGACCATGATGCGGACGAGGAGGAATATGAGGAGAAGGAGGAAGAGGAGGAAGCGAGGGAAGGAGGAGGAAGAGGAGCAGGAAGAGGCGGAGGAGGAATCTGAGAATACACGCAACGGGTAGGACGAGAAGGAACGCGCAGAGGAGAAGGAGGCAAAGGAGGAGGAGGAAAACGCAGAGGGCGGAAGGAAGGCCTCCGCCAGTCGAGGAAGAAAAGGGCGAGGAGCAATCTACAAATATTTTCATGCGGGGTCTTACCGTCGGAGTAATTTATAGTTCACCCGTCTCCAAAGTCAGCTTATGAGCAGACGGAAAGGGTTTTGTCTTATAGCGTGCTGGTCGTGTGTGTAGAATTTGTTTTGGATTTGTATAGAGAACGTTGTTTCGGAATTCCAGCGGTGCATGTTGGTTGTTGGCCGCAAGGCTCCTACTAGATGTTCAGAAGGAGGAGAGAAAGCAGGCGAAGGCAGAGTACATGGGGCAAGGGGGAGTGACGAAAGTTGAGAGACGGAGATGTGTGTGGATGATGACAACAAAGAGGGAGGGGCAAGTCCTTTTGGGGGAGACGGGAATAAGAGTAGTGAGCGGGGAGAAGCCAGCATCGCACAATGGTGACTTAATAAAGGGATGGCTGTCACGAGAACTTTGCATGAATGGCTTCTGACTCCCTGCCAGGAGCAAGGAGGGGTGCACGAGGAGAACAGGCGGGGTGGATGTGAGGATGGGGAGGAGGGGGAGGTGGAAGAAGAGAGGGACCATGATGCGGACGAGGAGGAATATGAGGAGAAGGAGGAAGAGGAGGAAGCGAGGGAAGGAGGAGGAAGAGGAGGAGGAAGAGGCGGAGGAGGAATCTGAGAATACACGCAACGGGTAGGACGAGAAGGAACGCGCAGAGGAGAAGGAGGCAAAGGAGGAGGAGGAGGAGAACGCAGAGGGCGGAAGGAAGGCCTCCGCCAGTCGAGGAAGAAAAGGGCGAGGAGCAATCTACAAATATTTTCATGCGGGGTCTTACCGTCGGAGTAATTTATAGTTCATCCGTCTCCAAAGTCAGCTTATGAGCAGACGGAAAGGGTTTTGTCTTATAGCGTGCTGGTCGTGTGTGTAGGATTTGTTTTGGATTTGTATAGAGAACGTTGTTTCGGAATTCCAGCGGTGCATGTTGGTTGTTGGCCGCAAGGCTCCTACTAGATGTTCAGAAGGAGGAGAGAAAGCAGGCGAAGGCAGAGTACATGGGGCAAGGGGAAGTGACGAAAGTTGAGAGACGGAGATGTGTGTGGATGAGGGCAACAAAGAGGGAGGGGCAAGTCCTTTTGGGGGAGACGGGAATAAGAGTAGTGAGCGGGGAGAAGCCAGCATCGCACAATGGTGACTTAATAAAGGGATGGCTGTCACGAGAACTTTGCATGAATGGCTTCTGACTCCCTGCCAGGAGCAAGGAGGGGTGCACGAGGAGAACAGGCGGGGTGGATGTGAGGATGGGGAGGAGGGGGAGGTGGAATAAGAGAGGGACCATGATGCGGACGAGGAGGAATATGAGGAGAAGGAGGAAGAGGAGGAAGCGAGGGAAGGAGGAGGAAGAGGAGGAGGACGAGGCGGAGGAGGAATCTGAGAATACACGCAACGGGTAGGACGAGAAGGAACGCGCAGAGGAGAAGGAGGCAAAGGAGGAGGAGGAGGAGAACGCAGAGGGCGGAAGGAAGGCCTCCGCTAGTCGAGGAAGAAAAGGGCGAGGAGCAATCTACAAATATTTTCATGCGGGGTCTTACCGTCGGAGTAATTTATA